GCCCGGGGCGAAGAGCCACGGAGGTTCGCCGTTTGGCGGATGCGTCTGGCTAGGGGGGCTTGCAGGACCACCCCAGGGTACTGCGGGTTTGGTAAGTGGTCAGGCTGCTGCAGTCACGCATTCGGTAAGAGAATGCATTTCTCTTTCTCAGAACGTCTTTAAACCGCCTGTGTTAATCTGCTTTTGAACGGAGAATGAAATTAAATGTCACTTAAATCAAAGCTTGTTCTCTGGGTAAAAAGAAAAAATCATGCAAGGTGTGTAGAATACGGGAGGGAAATGTCCAGTGTGTTCTGTAATTAAAAGCTTAAAAATCCCTGAAATTAAAAAGTGTAGGTAGTTTATGACTAGAAGTGGTTGTTTTGGCCCTACAAGATATCCTGGCATTACAGATCAGTTTTATGGATTACACTGAAAAAAGAAAACAAGCTTTTCTGTCTTTCAGTTTCTAAACTGTTTTTTTGTCTGTGCCTAGACTAGATATGGATAGATATGGCTAATGTGAATAAGTGATTTCTTCAAATATTTTTTGGTAGCTAACTTAAAAATTTGAGTCAGTTGGTTCAGTAGGTCAACTACTCCCATTCCAATTCTTTTTTTATTCTCCGTGGCTTGAGTTTCCTTAAAATTTCAGTGACCAAGCCTATTCTAAATATAATTGGTTGTGTATTTCAGTATTTTAGCCAGACCTTAGCATATATGGATGCCTTTCAAATTACTCCTAAAATATTTTTATAAATAAAACTGCCTATTGTGAGTTTGCCTGTCGTGCATTTTAAACATGTATTTTCATTCAAAACTAATTTTTCCAGTAATGTTAAGTCTTGCCCAAAGGCCAGCTCAGAAATCCTTGCGCAATTAGGGTGCTTGTTTTGTTTACATCGGGGGAAACAGAGATGCATTTGGCTGTCAGGTTCCATGAAACTTTGGAGCATATATCTATTCTGCTGTGCACTTGTAATTCTACTTGAAATTTGACAGAAGGTTCAAAACCTGTTGGTAGGAAAAAGTCTGCATAGAGTTATGTATGCTATTGCATATATGTTTTTACTCCTGTTAAAAACTAAATCTAGGATTTCCAAACAAGTTTGTCTTCAAGTCCATTTGTTTGCCCTCTACAGACTTGAGCATCTCCTTGGGGTGTTTTCCTTGTTCTCCCATTGGCGCTAGCAAGCATCATGAGGTTTCTAAGTGGTTTTACCTTATCTTTTGATGCCTCCGAAGAAATGTACCCACAAGGCCAAGAAGGCAGAGCTGGTATTCCTTGAGAGGCCCCGAGAGGGACCCATCCATTGGTATGAAACTCCGCTACCTCCGGCTGAGAACCCAACACGTGTTCCTACAAAACCCGTAGACCACAACATCTCTGCTGCCTGGGTTGGTATAGATTTTTTTTTTTCCCCCCACTGCATCCCACAGCAACAGCTTTCAAGTTTCTTCCCTGTGTCTGAACAGAAAGCTCTCTCTTCTGGACACCGACAATTAGTAGCACAGACCCGAATTCACTGTAGCTGCCTCAAGTACAAACAAGTGCTTTTGCCTTGCTTTACATTCTAACTGCAAGAACTAAGGTTTGGGATGTTTGAAGGCATAAAACGGTGTGCAGTGTGTACTGATTAATATGACTGTCTTCTGAAAAACTAATTCTCATCAGGAAAATGCTGTTTTCTATGGTAACTGAAAGCCCTGCACATAGTAAACATTAGAGGGGTTGTTTTTTATTGGCTTGCTGCTTGAAATAACTGCTGAACTCTAAATGTTACACATTTTGTTTAAATCTGACACTGCTAAATTTAGAGAACGTAGGCTTTCCCTTCAGGTTTATGTTTTCTAACCTGTCCTCTTTCGCATTCTGTGTGTTTTGAATAGTTCCTTGCCATATCACTATACTGATAGGCTCCTTTTCTGGCCTGAAAAAATATTCCATGGACTGTTTGCAGTGTCCTAAGATAATCCTTATACCATGTAACGCAAAGATATTTTTTTTTTAAGCAAACAAGTGCTGCAAAGACAGGCCATTCCTGTACAATAGTCATCACTTAGGGGAGCTCTGTTTAAGCATTACTGCTGCTTGACTCTGTTCTTCATGAAGCAGGCTCAGGAAGTGTGGTTTCAAACCTGCATGAAATATTCCTTTGTTCCTGGTTACTTGGAGTTATTTTCATAGAATCATAGTACTGTTCGGGTTGGAAGGGACCATAAGGATCATCTGGTTCCAACCCCCCTGCCATGGGTAGGGACACTTTCCACTAGACCAGGTTGCTCCAAGCCTCATCCAGCCTGGCCTTGAACACTTCCAGGGATGGGGCATCCACAGCTTCTCTGGGCAACCTGTTCCAGTGCTTCAACACCCTCTCCGGGAAGAATTTCTTCCTGATATCCAATCTAAACCTCCCCACTTTCAATTTAAACCCATTACCCCTTGTCCTGTCACTACAGGCCCTTGTAAAAAGTCCCCCCCAGCTTCCTTGTAGCCCCTTCAGGCACTGGAAGGTGCTATAAGGTCTCCCCGGAGCCTTCCCTTCTCCAGGCTGAACCCCCCAACTCTCCCAGCCTGTCCCATGGCAGAGGTGCTCCCGCCCTCGGAGCATCTTCGTGGCCTCCTCTGGACTCACTCCAACTGGTCGATATCCTTCTGATGTTGTAGGTTCCACAGCTGGACGCATGTTACAACTTTTTTCTCTTTATTTTATTTATTTTACACATCCTTGAGGCAGTTAGCTCTATGTCTTCTGAAACACTAAGTAAAATAACTGCTGTGAATAAACTTTTCTCTGGAGTGGAAATATCCACACTGGTACTTACCTCTTTGATTCCAAACATAAAATAATTCCAAAATTTGTTTAAAGATAACAGCCCTGAGGCTGTTAGATACTGTTCCATCTGAAAATTCTGGTAGGTTTGTAACTTCTTGAAGCGTCCTCTGCAGAGTTTCTCCCAACTTGTTTCAGTGGCAACTTATTTTCTGTTCTTTTCTTCTTGATGTTATCTAAGTTTTTCATACTTTCTTGACTACTAGGCTCCTGCATTGGTAAGGTCTGTTCTACATGTTCTGTGAAGCCACTCAAAGTCAGCAGTTCACCTCTGTTCTTCTAAGTATGTGATAGAAATAAAATTATCAGGGAATTGTTTAGCTCTTTTCCTGCACTAAGGCTTTTCAAACAGTTCTGTTTTACAACAGACAATTGCTATTGCACTTAGTTTTTTGAGGGACAATGTAGTAATTTAGGAATGCTGAAAGGCATTTGTAGTTATCGTAGCTAGAACCCAGTTTTGTGTGCTCTACGGTAAAGCAAATTGCCAGAAATGAAACCTGACTCTTTCTGTTGATACCCAGGATTAGAATTAGAAGGATTTCCAGGTTTTGAGTAAGAGTCCAGAATCTTTCCAAGAAAATATAGGTTGTTGAGCTTTGACCATCTCCAGAAAGCTGATTTTGGGAGTGGATTTTGGGCAATCTGTTACTCAGAAATACAGAGATTAACTGTGCTTTGAAGAAAAGATTTTGGGGGGAATATTGTGAAGTCATATTAACATATTTTAAGGGGATGGAGCTAAGTGGCAATCCTTTAAATAATTTTCTATTTGCACTCAGTTCAACTTCTACCTGTTCAGGGAGACTGAGGATGTAGTTCTTTGACTCTATTCAGAATTATGCTAAGACACAGAAAGAAACAGGATGCAGCTCTGAACTGTTTTAAACTTGCAGGGGTTACAGGAGTAGATATCAGTTAGACCTTTCTTTAAAACCCAAATTCAAGTTCTATTTAAGTTGCCAGAGAATAGCTCACTTGCACCCCAATTCTGGACAAGGCCTTGACTTTCCTAACCTGATCCTTGACTTTTCAGAGAATAATGGCAGAACATGATGTTGAAGTTCTGAGGTATCTCCTACTTAATGGCTTGGTTAGTGACAAATTTGGTTTGGTGCAGACCAGATTACCCACTTAACGAAGAAACTGAAAACAGAGGAGAGAGGTGCAGGAGTAGAGAGGTGCAGCCTCCAGTACCTGAAGGGCCTACAAGGATACTGGGAGGGGACTTTTTACAAGGGTCTGTAGTGACAGCACAAGGGGTAATGGATTTAAATTGAAAATGGGGAGGTTTAGATTAGATATCAGGAAGAAATTCTTCACGGAGAGGGTGGTGAGGCACTGGGACAGGTTGCCCAGAGAAGCTGTGGATGGCCCCATCCCTGGAAGTGTTCAAGGCCAGGCTGGATGAGGCTTGGAGCAACCTGGTCTAGTGGAAGGTGTCCCTGCCCATGGCAGGGGGGGTGGAACTGGATGATCTTTAAGGTCCCTTCCAACCCAAACCATTCTATGATTCTAGAATCAGGTTGGCATTCCTTTGTCTCAAGAAAATTGTTGGGTTTTCTCTTATTATCATGTCTCTACCTTCAGGCATGCCCACAATTTGAAACAACTAAGTCACTGGTGTTGAAATCATGCCAGAAGAAGCATCGTGGTCCTCACAAACCCCAGGATCAGGATGCCAACCACAGTTTGCTTCATGAAGGAGGAACCTGTCGAAGAACTATACCCAGCAAATTTCCTCCTCTAACTTTTGAGAATCCAGAAGGATATGCAGCCCACCCCTTAGATCATCTGGACCACTCAAGGAAGAACACAGACTCTCATGGCCAGCCCAAGAAAGAGACAACAGTAAAAGCCAGTGTGCAGGTGAAGGGTGCAGAGAACTGTAGAGAAACACGTATGTTACCTGCTCTATGGCCAGCGGAGACAGAGGTCTTCAGCCCTCCAGACATCGAGATTCCACAGGTGCCTTCCATAAGGAACTGGAGATGCAGCAGCACTCTGCCACAAAGAAGTAGCCCCGCCGGGCACCCAGAAAAGGAGCTGGCGTTTTGTGTTGAACCCTGTGGCAGAGAGGAGTCAGCAGCAGTACTGGTTACAGATACTCCCGAGCAGGAGTATGGAGTAAAGGTGACCTGGAGACAGCGGCCTCATCTCATGAACTACCTGCGGGAGAGAGGGAAGCTGAGTGCTGCCGACATAATGGTGAAGGCGAACACCAAGCTCCCGAGGAGACAGGCCAAGGTCTGACTTGG